GAGACTTATTGCCGGAATGCAGGGTTGTATTAATATGATAATATGCATATTTATTTGCCGAAAGTCTTCAACATCGTCGTCGTCATCATCATCATGATCATCAGTTTCATCATCATCATCATCATCATCATCATCATCATCATCATCATCATCATCATCATCATCATCATCATCATCATCATCATCATCATCATCATCATCATCATCATCATCATCATCATCATCATCATCATCATCATCATCATCATCATCATCATCATCATCATCATCATCATCAGCAGCAGCAGCAGCAGCAGCAGCAGCAGCAGAATCATCTTCATCGTCGTCGTCGTCATCATCAATCAGGACGAGAACATGTTACAAACAAACAACAGTACACAAAACTCAACATAGAAAAAAAAGACTGAGTGTTGATCTTAGGTGCTCCGGAAGGGTAGGCAGATCCTGCTCTACATGTGGCAACCGTCGTGTTGCTCATGTTAGTATGTTGGTACAAACCCGTTGATAAGTCTAATTCGGTAGGTCACATTCGGGAAAAAAAGGGGGGCGGGATTTTTTCTAGAGGTAACAGCCAGCAGGAAGACACATAATTCTGACTTTGAGTCGATCGTCTTTTCTCTTACTCCGTAATGCTATTCTTAGCGGCGAAGCAACATACTAATTTGAAAGTCTTTGCTTTGACCAGGCCGGGGTTTCAACCCAAGACTTTTCGCACTTGATGCTATTACGATACCACGAGTCAACCTAGGCGGTTTAAATGGATTGAATATAAATAAACAAATTGATTAATGAGTTAACTGACTATGCGGTATGGATCTTGCTCATTGTTGAAGGCCGTACAGTGAACTATAATCTTTGTTAAGTTCTATGCCATTTTGTCTCTTGTGAAGATTTGTGTCATTAGCAATCATACCATACTTTCCTATTTTTAAAATTAGAATATACCCTTTATTCATGCAAGTAGGAAAGATCCTTTCTCTATTCTTTTTTTCTATTTTCACATTTCCCAACCGATTGTGAAATATCTGTTCTCGGCAAATATGGTCGAGATTTAATTATGATGTCAAGTTTTCTTGGTTTCTTCTGAATTTCCTATTGTAACGTCATGAAAAAAGACGACCATGCCTGAATACGTCACATATATAAAAAAAAAACACAGCTTTCTGCAAATCTTTGAAAAGGAAGAATAAAAATCATAAGAGAAACAGATTCCACCACTATAACTAATTTACCCTTTGTAAAATATCGGGAATTGTAGCACAAACTCCACAACATAAAATATGATTCTGATGATTAAATTGATGTCTAACGTCCAGTTAAAAACCAGTAATACATATCAGATGAGAACATGTTAATGTGATATATGAATAATTATATGACCTCGCATTGTACTTGGTTGACACGCTGAACCGGATTTGTTAAACATCCAAGTTCACAAGGTAGCATTCAAATTGAAATCATGCTACTTTACCAAGACACATTATTCCGACTCAGAACCACCCAGTCTTTCTCCTTACTCATAAATGCTTCGTGCTGTCGGAGAAACAGTAAATAATAGATTTTCTTAAAAACAAACTTCAGTCTTATTCTTTGCAAGATGATTTTCTATACTGTACAGAAAACTGTCCCAGGTTAGGGAGAGGGTTGGGATCCCGCTAACGTGTTTAACCCCGCCACATTCTGTATGTATGTGTCTGTTCCAAGTCAAGAGCCTGTAATTCAGTGGTTGTCGTTTGTTTATGTGTTACATATTTGTTTTTCGTTCATTTTTTGTACATAAATTAGGCCGTTAGTTTTCTCGTTTGAATTGTTTTACATTGTCATTTCGTGGTCTTTTATAGCTGACTGTGCGGTATGGGCTTTGCTCATTGTTGAAGGCCGTACGGTGACCTATAATTGTTAATTTCTGTGTCATTTGGTCTCTTGTGGAGAGTTGTCTCATTGGCAATCATACCACATCTTCTTTTTTATATGTATATTTCAAGCACCAAATTGTAATATATTATGTTCTAACTTATCAAAGAATCAAGATATGTGAACAAAGCATAAACCTTTGTTGTGTATTTATCATAGAGATGGTGGAAGCTGTATTTCTAATAAAAAGTGAGCTCTATAATGATAAAAACCTAACTGTTTAGGAATATTTGTTTATCATCATTATGTATGAATACATGATTAATTGACAATTTCTCCCATTTTCTTTTAATTCATGAATCTTTTAAGAAATCCAAACTTATAACAGTATATAAACTAAACACCAAGATAAGATGAACATGATGAAGAAAAGGCTTAATGAGATAAAACCAAAATTTGTTAAAATAAATCAGTGAAACTTCTAGAAAAACAGAAAAAGTAAGATACAATAAGTCTGGCAAAGTGTAAACTTTTTATAGACGAAAACAGGTTGATCACATATCCATCGAGTCCATATTGATTGTAAATTTGTAAACATCTGTATTATGTGTACCGTAAACAGCAGTCCTCAAGTATGCTAGCTAGTAGGCACTCTGTTGGTAACTGAACTGTCGAGGTTTGTTTCCCTGTATATTACTCTTACGACATTTGCATTCCTTGTAGGCTAATAGTTGTAGGTTTATGCACACCATTTTGAAAGAATTAGACTGCTTCTGCCAATGTTGAACACGTAGTAAGAGAGCTATTTTCTTTATTACAACTATTATTTTATAGTGATTTTTGTTTGTGTCTGAAATTTCTAGACAATGATTTATTCCTTTACATTACATGGAGACAGATAGTATTATTTTCATATCTACAAATATAGAATGCGTAATCTGATTTTTTGTCAGAATTTAATTTTTTACTTTATTTTCATGTTATAATTCAAAGAATATATATTCGAAGTAATAGACTCATCTGAAGACATAGCACCTCCCATAAATTAAAAATTGATTTATATGGGATTTCAATATGATTGAAGGCCGTACAGGGAAGAATAGCTGCTTACATCTACGTCATTGAGATTAGTCATGTCAATAACAATCATGCCCCCTTTTTTATTTTCTTCATAATATTCGGGGGAAAACAGTTTGTCTTAAACCAAGGTTACTATTTTGCATAATCAACATGATCAATGCGAAACACAACATAATCGTGAGTACACCATATAAGAATAAGAGGATGTGGTATGATTGCCAATGAGAAAACTCTCCACAAGAGATCAAGTGACATAGCAGTTAACAACTATACGTCACCGTACGGCTTTCAACAATGAGGAAAACACATAACGCATAGTCAGCTATACACGGCCCTGAAATGACAAAATGTATTTTTTTAACATTTCAAACAAAAAAAATAACGGCCTGATAAATTTATGTGAAAAACAATGAAGGAAAATCAAATATGATATACAGCAACAATCTACAACCACTGAATAACAGACTCCTGACTTGTCACAGGCACATACAGAATGTGGCGGGGTTAAACTATGTCTTTAGCAGAAGCTATTATAAGCATATGCAATGTTTAACAAAACTTTACTGTATTAATTATAACATCAAAAAGTCCATTCATTACCCATGTCAAACTCACAGGGGTAAAGCATATTTGTAAAACAGAAGAAAATCAAGAGCTGCGCCATGACAGCATGATACGCTCGTCACTTTTTCAAAGAATAAAGTTCTATAACTCCTCAATGGCATATCAGAAATTTATAAAAAAAAAAACAAAAAAACTAAAGGGCGGTAATTTTAATAGATATAAACCAGTCATCAAAGTTTCATGAAAACTGCTCAAAGCACTTTTGAGTTATTGTCCGAAAACTGGAAAATCCCCCCTTTTTATGAATAAAATTGCATATCTCGGAAACGTAAAATCTAAAATTAATAAAAATCAAAAGGGAGCTTACGTCAATAGATATAAACAATTCACCAAAGTTTCATGAAAACTGCTTAAAGCTTATGAGTTATTGTCCGAAAACTAAAAAATCCCCCTTTTTGATGAATAAAACCCAACAACTCGGAAAAGTAAAATCCAAAATTTATAAAAATTTAAAGAAAGCTTACTTAAATAGATATAAACAATTCACCAAAATTTCATGCAAATTGGTTAAAGTGTTTTTGAGTTATTGTCCAACATGTTGACGACGGACGGACAGACGGACGGACAGACGGAGGGACAGACGGTACGACGGTCGAACAGACGGACAACGGTATACCATAATACATCTCGTAAACGGGCGTATAAAAAAACGAATTAACACGGAATAACTAGGAACTATTGTGTCCCTTTCGAATGTTACTGCGTTAAGTCTGAAAACTTTGACTTGTTCTTGTATATGTCACAAACACACGATACATACACGCACCTCGGTACTTTGTGTCTTTTGTGTTAATGTAACAAGTAATTCCTTCGAATTTCGTGCAAATCGGATGAGTCAAGTAATTTCAAAACTGACTTTTACAGTTTGTTCTAATAATGTGTTGTTCCAACACCACTGTCCAAGGTTAGGGGAAGGTTGAGCGCTTCCAAACATGTTTAATCCCGTCACATTCTTTAGTTAAAACAGTCATTGCCATATGTTGCTGTTAGTCATATTTGTTATTCGTGTATTGTTTTGTCGTAATTCAGAACGTTGGATATCTCGTTTGAAATGTTTTACTTGTTGTCATGTCGGAGCTTTTTATAGCTAACTATACGGTATTTATCTTGTTCATTGTTGACGACTTTACGGTGTCCTATAGTTCCTTGTATTCATGTAATTTGGCATATGGTGGATAGTTTTCTCATCGGCAATCATACCACATTACTTTATTTCTAAATACTAAAAATTCAATCTATTGTTGTATCCATGTCTAAAAGCTAGATGCATAATCTATCATTACAATTCGTATGCTTAAATCTTTCGAACTATTTTGTTATAATTCTAGATGAATGAATATAGAAAAATAATATCTGCAATTTTATTTTATGATATGATGATATAGTTAAAGCTTAGCACACACTTATTGAGAATGCACTATGCCTCGAATTCTTTTCAGTCCTCATAACGATATGAAATCTGCAAAGAAGAAAAAAAAAACTCTAATTATAAAAAGAAAATATATAAAGCGGTTATTTTTTTCTGTATTTGATTGATATAGTAATGTTTTACAATGCAATTAGTTTCATGTAACTATGTATTGCTAGGTCAAAAGTAAAATAACAAAAATACCGGAGTACAAGGGAAATTCAAAACGGAAAGTCCTTAATAAAAATCAAAAGCTCAATCACATCTAACGAATGGAAAACATATTCATGACTTGGTACAGGCATTTCCTTAGGTAGAAAATGGTTTTATAGCTAGCTAAACCTCTCCATTGTATGACAGTCGCTTTGAATTCCATTATATTGACAGCAATGTGTGAGCAAAACAAACAGACATAATAGGTAAAAAAGTAAAAAATATGGATACAGAATATATAATCTTAATCACTATAAAAACAAACTATGTTGTATGGTTCTTAATCAATTGAATGACGTTTGTTTTACATCCACTTGTAAATGATACATGTACATGCAAAACATTCGAAATGCGATAAAAAAAAACGGTTTTGCTTAGTCCAACCTGCTAAATCGTATTTCAGTTTGCAATCTTAAAATGTTACGTAATAGTCCACAGGAAGGCATATTGACATCTATTAATAATGTTCTTTTTATATCCAGTATACGCACGTGTGAACATTGAGCGCATTGAATGGAGCAGCACGGATGACAAATAAATTATCGAAAAACGAATACTGTTTAGCAAATCAAATACGGAATCCCGAATTATTCCTGTCTATGAATATATTTGGAACGAAAAGTTGCAGATACCTTAAAATTTAATGCGGAAAAAAACAACGGTAATGTTTGTGTATTAGACAAATCAAATATTTTGTATTGAACTTTTCATTTTAGACACTAGTGTATAACAAAAGTATCTGAATAATTTACTCTTATTATTTTAATAAAATTACAGAATAAAAAGTAAATGCTGTGCACTGCTATTCCTTAACAATAAGTGAACAAAGCAAATAAAGTAGTGTTTGCTACTAAATAAAGATAAAGCAGTTAAGTGTTTTTTAATTTATTTAAAAAAAACAAAAAAACAAAGAACAATATCATGATTCCTATATTTCGACTTCTATACATGTAATGCGATGATTTAAAATTAACACAAGTTAAAGCAAGTAAACTCACCACACATAGGTATCTTACAATATTCCCAACGTTTGGTTGGATCTATTGTATAACACCATGGTTGTCCGCTGTTGTTAGGATTTCTACAGTAATTATGTTTCGTTTTAAGCTTGCTAAACACGTGTTTGTGTGGATATTGCCGTTTCCAATGCTGACAGGTACGCCCAGTTTGTGTCAAACTAATTCGACCTTTGTATTCCGTACCCTTTGTGGATTTTCGACATTCTGAAATATTTATGAATAAATTGAGATGTGGTTTATACGTCATTGAGCCTGCAATTCAACGACAAAGCAAATGACGTTAATAGAACAACACACTTTAAGGTTGTCTTCAACAATTGATCGATTTCATTTATATTTTTGTTAACTGAAAATGGAATTTTCCCAAGCATCACAATCCTGATAATCGCTTTGTCATTCTTCAGACAACATATGCGTATCGATTTTTATAACAAGCTAATCTAAAAGGAAGTGGTATGATTACCAATAAGACAACTCTTAAAATGAAGTAGACGTTAGCTACTTTAGGTTTTCCACAATGATCAACACATATACCACATAGAAAGCTATTAAAGGCCCCGAAATGACAAAGGTAAATCGAATTCAAACGAGAAATCTTGTACTCGTAAAGGACGATGCATGAAGTTCTATTACTGGACGTTAAAAATAATATTTTGAATATAGTATGAATTAGTTTCAACATTACATGTTCAAAAGCTGCATTCATTTTCTTGAAGTTGTTTTAAAGTGTATACGAATGAAAGTAACTCTTGCATATTTCAAAGTTTAAATGAATAGATTTATAATTATAAAATAAAGTTGTGTGTATATGCCACAAAATTATGTCGAAATACGCAGCTCTTGAGTAAAAAAGATACCATTATATAAAACTACTATATTAATTTATAATGAATTTATTTTGACTTAATTTGGAGAAAATACTCACCATCAACATTCTCTTGATCTTCAGGTGCTTTGTATAAAAAAAATAAATACACTTTATTCTAATTTCAATTTCGAAGAATAATCCCATTTATATATTTGATACATATTTTTCCTAAAAGTTTGATAAAGATAATTTAAAAAGAAATGTATTAAAGTTCGTTCACATTGCCTAAAATATTAAATATGATTATTTTGTAAACATATCAATGAACCAGTAAAAAAAATGTTATGTATCGCTAACTCTAAGGAAATGTGTGCAGATTCATGTCACTATATGACATTCATATCTGCAAGGATCCGTATCGTTTACTGGGTAACAATCACACCCAAAAATAAATCTGCATATCATATTGAATACTACTCTTGTGATGTATTTAGACCAAAAACATTTAAGGACCAACTCCTGTCCCCGTCCAAATAGAAATAATAATAAAAAGAAAAAAAATAGGAAAATTCTACAAAGACAACGGGTGTTGACTATTTATTGAATTCGATCGTAGTTCATTATGATGTGTTCAAAGAAAGTCTCACAAATAGTTCAAAGAAATATACACATGCTGAAATGGATCCTGTCCAACTGATCTTCAAAACACGATTTAACTTAAAATTTAGATATACATATACCTTTTGGTCTACACATTTTGTTACCTTTATTTTTCATTAAAATTGATTCCATTCATGAGATTTAAACATCGTTAAAATACCGTTGGATTTTATTATGTAATAGGGTAACGAAAGTAACAAATTGCTTTCCAACAAATACTCTTTAAAATTAACACCCCGCATCACATGTTACAGATTTAACATCTCAAAGTTGATAAGATATTTCAGATTGCATTTTTATTCAAAATTGGATTACAAATTTCAGCGTTGATCAGATATACCAGCTATTACTAATGCAATAAATAGATTAACTTAAAAAAATTATGCAACTAAGTTAAGACACATTTTTATAAATTTGAAGTAAAAGTGTTATAGAAGCTATCACAACTTTGTTGATTGTTTTGGAAAATCCATGTTTTAACCATCTCTTGTACTTATTCTGTAGAAACAACCCCACTTTGTTTACTTATTACACATCAAGAAGTTGGCCCGGTAAGACTCTTTTTTTTTTGGCCCAAAAATATAGCATTTTTACGAATTTGTTAAGAATTTAAACCTTTAGCTAATATTTGGAAAGTAGAATATTTTTGTTACATAAATATTGACTTTTTTGACAATACAATGCACATGCATCAGGTACTAGCATCATTAATTGATGAAAAATTACTTTAATCTTCACAATTTTAGCATTTGTGCTAATATGTAGACAGTTTTTGTCTAAAATGGAAGTGACCGCACTTGTATTCAGTCTTAATATTTAAATATATGTTGTATTTGATGATAACACATAACATGTATGTGGCCGTTTATATTCTAGACAAAAACCATCTGAAAAATGACGTTTTATGGCATATTTGATAAATTATTTTTATATTCAAGCTGGAAGCGTGTTTAATGACAAAATCTAATACATAAACTAATTGAATTGACTGAAGAAAACACTTTTTGATTTAAAAAAGTCAAAAATCTGTTATCAGAAATACTTCAAATTTCAGGCCAAAACTAGCTATTACCGGACCTTCTCCTTTCTGATTAATAATTAATTTTACAATTATTCTATTATAATGATACTACAGCTCCAATTTGGTTATTCCCCGACGACTAACCGGTCTCAATCCTTTTGGAGTTCATGCGATCCCAGTTTTGTTTCTTACCTTGATTTTCTTGATTGTATTCGATTTACGAGATTTGATTATCGGAAAACAACTACTGTTGCCTGAATTCATGACTTCCCGAGTTTTACTTATGACTTATGCGAAAAAGTTCATTTGATTTTAAGGATGTAGTTAGGTGAAATTAAAAAAAAATCTAGGATTTAAAATTGATACTTTAACTTAGAAGAGCTTTAGTTAAAGAACAAAATAAGCTAAACATATTGATAGGTCATGGAGCTCCTTTTCAAGATATTTAAATTTGTTTAAATGGCGGGAAAAGGCTGTCTCGGGCTTTTAACTTCTATTTTCATCGGTGTTATTTTGGTGTTAAATCGAAGGAAAAGAAATTTAAGATCTGCTTAAATTTTGGTAAAAGACCTTTTATGAGCTATTGAAGTCTTATATGAAAAGACAAATATGTGTCATTGGTCAAACTATTTTACCCTGTACCGAAGGAAAAAAACCAAGGAGTCCGAACATCTGACAAAAATTCCTAAACCTGACCTAAGTACATCCTTAATTATAATTTCAAGATCATTTTATTGAAATGGTATGTACTATGGTATATTTAACGATTTTGTTTTGTATGTGTACTTATGTGGGCTTATTTTACACATCAATTAACTCCGTAAAAATAATAACTAGATTGTTTTATTTTTGTTTTGTTTACTTTACTCTATCAAATATTGACAAAGTTCAATAGGGCTTGGGTATATCGAATGTTTGTTACGAAAAACTTTAAAAAAGCTACCTTAAAAATGTTTTCAATGTAAAGTAATGGGACATACTGGCAAAAGAAATTAACTTTTGATACATTTCGTGTGTCCAAAGCGCGTTTCAGAATTGATCCTCATCTTGAACGCTCAAACTCTTTTTTTATAAACCAACATTGTATAGATAGGTAGAACCTTTAGGAACTATATGACCAAGTGAGATCTATAAGAATAGACAAATTCCTCCAAGGTCAACTTTGCATGATGGAGTAAAATATTAAGTTCAATACACACCAGTCAAAACCGTCTAAGGTCAAAAGTCAGCCTTATCTGAGTAAGTTTAAATATAAATTATAGGGCAATTACAAAAAACATATTTCAATTGAAGGTTCTGCCATCACCATACCCTTTGTTATGACAGAAGTGCAAGACAAAATCACTATATAAAACAGCTAATGTACTTACGAGTGCAAACATCTACACCATTTCCCTTGAACTTCTTTTTACATATACATCTATATTGACCTCTTCGGAGACGACATTTAGCATTTTGATGACAAATTTGTTGTTTAACAACTGTCAAAGTTGGTTTCCCGTTTTCTCTGGAACACTTGGTTACAATTGTGCAGTCTGATGAAGTTAATTGCTTTCCAAGCTAAGAAAAAATTAATTTAAGTAAGTTGACAACCAGAAAATCTTTATGAATGGAAATATTATCAGCTTTTTAGTACCAAAAATTATTTGTCAGTTTGATGGAAACAAAATAATGTTTTACAAAATTAACGTTCCCTCTACATTTACTTAATATATGAATAGAACAAAATGTTGATAATACTCCTATGAAACAGTTTTGACAAAGGTCACCATACAATGTGGGTCGAGTCATACAAAATGCTGGTGGTTTTGTTCGGGCATAGCTTGATAACTAGTATGTTGTACTTAATGGAATTTGGTTTTGATGGCAGATCTTTAAAACTCTAAGTGTGTTTGTTACTAGATAGACCCAAATATATTGTATATTGCTGAATACAGTATGCTTATTTGTAGGTAGTTTTTGAATGTTGACTTTGCTGGTTTATTAACCCGTACTGCACATCTTCTTTGCTTGATGTCAGGTTCTGTTTAGTTCTTAAAATATTAATTAAGATTCAAGCTTATTAGTTAGATGTTATCGTAAATATAAGTCCCTTTCCTATACAATTAACTTTCAAGAAGCAGACTTTAAAACTATAAAGTTCTAATTGTTTTAAGTAATGGCCGTTTAAGAGTTTGAAAGATATGGCCCTGTCCTAAACAATTTTGATTTTGTTAACAAAGAGAGGCAGTAACAAACTTCATGTCATGTATGTTTAATGTTATCAGGTGAAAAACGTAAAAGATCATCGGATTTATGTTATAATTGCCTGACAAGGTATAAACAGAAGATATTGTTTTGGAAACATTCGAAGTTTTATGCACTTTGAAGACCAGGGAATGCAGTATTTTTTTATGTATGCATACTCTGTCACATGATTTTATTATACGTCAGGCACATGTGAAAACTATAAAAAAAAATTCGAGCTTTTGATTAAGTACACCACAAGCGGATATTTCTACACAATATTTTGAACCGAAGCTCGAATCAAAATAGGTGAAAGTCAAAATCAAGAATGAGGTTAAGAACATGCATTGAAAACCCAATTGCGTACACTCGTTAAAATGTCTAATAGTCCACAGTGTAAAGTGTAAGCAGATTGTAAAATTGCAAGACAGATATATTTTAATAATCAAGCAATTAGTGATGCGATATTTCCCCTCATACATACATTGCTACTTTGCCGGGGGGGGGGGGGGGGGGGGGGGGGGGGGGGGGGGGGGGGGGGCTGGGCTGGGGTGGCAGTTTTATATAGTGTATAACCTTATAGTGAAATATCTATTTTGAGAAGCTTTGGCGTATCAAATCACATGAAGATTCGAAAACTTCTGTTAATCTTCTGTGATACTAAATTTAAAGCAACTTGTAAGAAGTATCATAAATTATATGCTTTGTAATATTAATACATTTGAACAGACGAGGTTTTATTCGGTATTTTGATTATTTCAGGTCTTAATTCCTTCCAAACGAGAATTAAACGTGCCTTAAACTTTAACATGAATTGATTCAACGAAAGTAAACAGTATTAGTTCCAGCATGTTAAAAAATTTTTGGTATACTTAAATGTTACTTTGCACTGTTTCCGTTTTATTGACCATGTTTTCCCGTTCATAAATTCACAAAGAGAAAGGCAGACATACTCCTCTTAATTGGGAGCCTGAAAAGGCATCTCACTAATGTTATCACTTCTAATAGTTAACCAGTCATAAAATTCTCAAATCATTTGAAAGCACTAGGATATTTACACCCCAAATTATAAATCGGCGAAGCAAATTTTGCTTTTTAATGCTCTTCTTCATCGTAATTGATTTTTTTTAAATTACACACATTTTGATATCAGGGCTATTTATGAATCTGGTGTTGAGAAAAAAACCGTCTAGCATATTGAATGATAAGCCATTTATCTTTGATGAATGTTTGCTTTATCAAAAATTAATCGCAATACATAAATATATGTGTATACATACGGGATAGTATTCTCCTTCTGGTCCACGACATCCACATTGTTCTTTGGGCACACATTCATTTCCACTCAGGAGAAATCCTTCTTTACATTGACAACCTTCTGTATTTGGTAATCTGCATGTTAATGGAGCATCTGGGTCCACACAAGTTGCTGGACATCCACTCCCAGAAGTAGTATATTCCATGTTATCTGGACATGTGAGTGCTAAAATAGGAAAATGACTATTTTAATGTTGTCATTTTAATGTTATATGTAACATTGCCATAAAATCGGGAGGTTTGGCATGCCACAAAACCAGGTTCAACCCACCATTTTTTTCTTAAAATGTCCTGTACCAAGTCAGAAAAATGGCCATTGTTATATTATAGTTCGTTTCTGTGTGTGTTACAATTTAATGATGTGTTTTTGTTGTGTCGTTGTTCTCCTCTTATATTTGATGCGTTTCTCTCAGTTTTAGTTTGTAACCCGGATTTGTTTTTATCTCTATCGATTTATGAGTTTCGAACAGCGGTATACTACTGTTGCCTTTATTTATCTTTTTTGACTGAAATGTTATATTTTTATCTCGATTCAGGTCTTCAGAATCGAAAAACTATATTATCATTGGAATGTTGCACACTACCTGGCACAATTTTTTACAATTTATATCGACGTTTAAATAAGTAACTAATTTTCAATATTTTTTCACTTCCCTTCTGAAAACAAATTGTGTAGAAAAAAAAAAGAAAATAAAACAATTACTTGAAGAAACATCATCACTTTCTCCTTAATTGATAAATAATCATTGCATTAAACAACTTGAATACCGTTCATCAATACAACATATAATATATTTTGTAAACCAACTTATTTTCGCGGATACTTAATTTCGCGTTTTGCCATTTCAATTCGACTTCGCGGCGATTTATTTTTAGCGATGTTTTAATTTCATTAAATGTCATGTATTATCATAAGAGAAGATCGAAGTTTAACATATTTGCGACGATTTATATTCGCGTTATTTTTCTACTTGCAAAAGTCGCGAACATTAATCGCTCGTAAGTAGTAGTTGGTTTACACTATTTGGTCAATTTGTACTCATATACACTAAGCATAAATCGACAGGTCTTCTTGGAAGGTGAATGAAATGCTTTTGGGTTTCAGTATTTTGATGAAAAAAATACACTTTTCTGTACGTTTGTAACGTCATTAAGACTAATTTCCTCATGTCGTCTCATGAAAATATGTAGTAATATGTCGAATGAGATGAAGGAACGAAAAAAGTATTAAGATATTTGTGAATTTGTATACATACGACAAATATCCCTTTTCCGCCAAGTTATTGATAAACCCATGTCTTCGCATTGTTCTTCATATCCCTCCAAAGACTCACAAATAGATTGCTCGAGTTCAGGTGATCCTTCTATACTACAGTAATTATATAGACAGGACTCATATAAATCCTTGGCCATATCCATATCTTTGTTCGCACAAGACATGAATGGGCTTTTTACATTTTTCGGATTCAATAAACCACAGTATTTATCGTCAGCGGCTTTACTGGACTGGTCTGCAGAACATGGTTCTTCTATTATAGGAACAACTACGCACCTGCAATATCATTCGATGATTTATCAGTTTAACCCTAGGAACTATTAAATCTCATTTTGTTTTAATATAATAAAAAAAAACACATAAAGAACATTTAAAATCGACAAAAGGATATCTTCAAAAATAACAAATCGTCACAAAGAAGAGAAAGATCTCTAAATGCTCTCTTTTTTCCCAAAAGTATTTTTTTAAAGGAATAGAACCACTAATTCAGGCCGGTCGGAAAGTACATACAAGAAAGTAGTACATATTGTAAGCAAAATAGTTCCTACGCTTAGCTGTATCTGTGTCAATAGGTGAAATATTTGGGTAGTTTTGGTATTAAATGAAAGCTTGGGGACGTAGGATTGCTGTAGAACCTTTGTTGAAAGTATCTTTTGAATTATAAAGAAGTATATATAATTATAGTAGGAGGGCACATTTGCCCTGTTGTTCAGATCTGAAGTACCAGTTTTTGTACTATCAACCTTCCGGCACCCAGAATGCTCTAATATGCAATTAAAGGTATGTTGAATTTTTCAACAAACGTTAGGATAAGGTATAGTTTTGACATGAATTGACTGCTACTTTATTTGAACTTAAAACAAAATAGCCATTAATGCTTGAAATTGCAGAATTTAGCATAGAATGCAATGGGGCTCTGAATTAGTGGTTTTATACCTATTACTGAAAGACATGTGAAATTTAAATTTTAGAAATCATATCCATTACAATGAAAATTTGTCTCATTTGTTGTTAGTTATCATATTACATTATTTTTTTTTTATGTAACAATGATCATGGTGTCAAATTAAAGCCCTCAAATTCAGCCTTTTTTGGTCATTTAGCCGGCACACAGTTAAGATTTTACCTGAAGTTTATATTTTTGCATTATCTAACACTGAAACCAATGAAACATGGATATTATGACTGGTTGATAGTATAACTATAGCTTTTAGTCAATTGATCTAGTGGGTGTTCATGTTTTATTAGGCTTCTCAGTGTATCATTTATTCCAAAGGAAATTGGTGTATACCTATATCATGTATATAGTAATTCCAAAATCCCACTTGAAATGCAGTTTATAATCAGTTTAGCAAGTTGTCTAGCTGTGAGATACATAATTTGTTCTTGTTGATCCATGTTTTTACATAAAAGTATGGTTTTTACCAAATCACTCTACTTTTTCAACATGTAGAAAAAAGGGGACAACATTATCAATTATATCTCATGTTTGGACCACTATATATATATTCAAGGAATAATCTCTGATAAAAAAAGACATATAGGTAAGAACATTGTTATTTGAGTAGATATAAACAAATAAGAACTGGTAAACATTGAAAAAGTCTCATATCTGTCATTATTAGTATCCATATGGAGTTTTCTATGTATAACGCATATGTTACTACCAGTCCAGTTTGAGCTTGGATTCATTGATAAAGTGATATTCATTGAACTTAAGACAAAAGCTTTATGTGTTTTTCTATGCTAGCAATAGATCATAGAAGGAAATTAAGTAAAGCAGTAGTCAATATAGCAAGTTTGAATTCATTGATATAGTGATATTCATTGAACTTAAGACAAAAGCTTTATGTGTTTTTCTATGCTAGCAATAGATCATAGAAGGAAATTAAGTAAAGCAGTAGTCACTATAACATGTTTGAATTCATTGATATAGTAATATTCATTGAACTTAAGACAAAAGCTTTATGTGTTTTTCTATGCTAGCAATAGATCATAGAAGGAAATTAAGTAAAGCAGTAGTCAATATATCACGTTTGAATTCATTGATATAGTGATATTTTCTGAACTTAAGACAAAAGCTTTATGTGTTTTTCTATGCTAGCAATAGATCATAGAAGGAAATTAAGTAAGGCAGTAGTCAATATAACAAGTTTGGTGCTGTTATAGGTATAGAACCACTAATTCAGGCCCGGTCGGAAAGAACATACAAGAAAGTAGTACATATTTTAAACAAAATAGTTCCTATGCAAAGCTGTATCTGTGTCAATAGGTGAAATATTTTGGTAGTTTTGGTATCAAATGAAAGCTAGGGGACTTGGGATTACTGTAGAACCTTTGTTGAAAGTTTTTTTTTTTTAATTACAAAGAAGTATATAGTATTATACTAGAAGGGCACATTTTCTCTGTTGTTCAGATCAGAAGTACCGGTTTTTGTATTATCAAACTTCTGGCAACCAGTACACTGTAATATGCAATTAAAGGTATGTTGAAACGTCAGGATAAGGTATAGTTTTGAAATGAAATGACTGCAATTTTATTTTAAATTAAGACAAAGTAGCCATTAATGCTTGATATTGCAGAATTTAACATAGAAAGCAATGGGGCTATGAATTAGTGGTTTTATACCTTAACAAGTAACATGAGAATTAAACATATATGTCCAGCTAATGATAATATGACACATTACAATCAAGCAAAGACAGTTTATCTATTTGAAAGTTTTAAGCATTTTAGGTAAGTTATGTTGTTTGTTTGGTGAATCTCTGTTAATGAAGAGCAAGGAAAAGACAACCCATATTCTTTTGTTTACTTCCTATTCAATGAGAGTATCTATTACATATAATATCCAATTAAATCAAATGATAAGTAACAAAAGGACACATAACAGGTTTGAATTGTTTGTTAGCAATAGTTTGTAATGAATCCAAGCACATTTAAATCACATTTACTAGAACCACTTAGCTACTTGTCAATATAATATATATATAAGTTACCTTTAGCCTGGACGGTATGTCTTTTGTCTTTCATGTAATGTTTTTTTAATGTTGTTTGTCCTTTTGTCATTTATAATTTTACCATGGCATTGTCGGTTTTAATTTAACTAATGACTTTTAAATGACTCCTATGTTTTTTTGCTCTCTTTTCTTTATATCAATCTTATTAATAAAGTGTATATTTTAATGTTTACCTCAATAGCAGATAAATAACATTATAACTTATTAAGGATGTAAACTTCTGAGGAGCCAAACATTTCTAGAATTAAACTTTTTTTTCTTAGTCTGATGTTTATATGACTGTAAGAAAGTAACCGATGAAGAAAAAAGTATATGGTGGTGCACTTCCTTTTTTTGCTAAGGCCACTTGAAAGTACCCATTTTTTATGATTTTTCCATTTTTCATCAATTTGTACCCATTTTTGTGCTATTGTCATGAAAAAAATTACAATTTCACAATTAAACTTTTTTTCATACTTTCACTAAAGATGAAGTGGCCCAATCTGAATAAATTTAACTTAAAACAAATTATAGGTTGGTGTTTATATTAGAAAGTTTTATACTATTTTGTTGCTTTTTCGTGTCAAATTGACCATGCTGTCAATTTTGTAAATTTCGGATTTTGCTCTTTTTTTTTACAACAAAAGGCATATTATTTCAACTTCTTTGTTTTAAATGATTAACAAAAATACATATCTAAGAGTTTGTTAAAGAAACATTTATATGGGATGTACATATCTTTGGTAAAACTCATTTGTTTTTACCCTCACATATTTTCGCAACATTTTGGCTGATGACACTTACCAGATTGGTTAAAAAATTTGAAATTTTGAAAATCAAAAACTACTTATTGTAAGTACACAATTTGTTCACACAGTTTAGTTTGATTATAATATTTTTTATATTCATTGATATATTCCACTTGTATCACATGTTTTGGAAATAATTCCCGAACGAGATTTCAACGAGACTGAAACCTCAGAAGACTACATCCTTAAAAGAGAGCTTTTACAAAAATGGATAAGTTGCATTAACTTTTCACCTTTACACCAGTACGGGGAACTTTGCAAAATTTAAATTGTAAGTTTGGGATTGGCTTACTTGTTATCCTGTGTTTCATAGATTCCTGGAACTGTGTAGCTCTTTCCAATTAGCTCGAATTTGTCTTTCTTTAGACTAACATCCTCACCTGTTGCTGTTCTGAAATCGTCTTTCTTTCCGTTGCAATCACCACAAATACCAGTTACAATTCCCGCATATGTCTTTGGAACGGATACTGCCACGGTACCGACACCATTCCATGTTATCAATATGTTGCATTTTGTTTGTAGCCGTACATATCTACCAGAAGTCGTAATTTCAAAGTTTGTACAAGAATAGGGAGTATAAACTTGAACGTCATTAACCTTATGATAAACAGACACATTATACCATTATAAACATATTGATTGCGAAAGACTAGCACAAAATATATTTACAGGCGTACAACATGTACAAATGAAAATGAAAGAATCATTTAGCAACAGGTGAAAAAAAAACATGTAATTACTACTGATACTGCGACTGAAATATTGATCATTAGCTGATTTTTAGTATTTTTCATATATTGAAAGCGTTTATAAACGTTTTTCTTACGAAGAAATAAAATAACAAATATACGGAACTCCATGGATTATCCAAAAACAGAAAGTCTTTTATTAAATGGCAATTTCAAAAATGAATATGTATATCAGAACGATGATGCTTCTAGCAGTTGTTTTAAAGTAAATACATTTAATCATTATTTAATCTTTTAAAATTCATTACCGTATAATAACGTCTACGCCAACTGATTCCTGCTGGATGTGTGTCTCATTGGCAATCATTTCTCATCTTCTTAATTTTATATCAGTATATAGAGTATATCACTTTGTATTTTCGAATTTGACGGGATATACAGTAGTGTACGTGTTTTTCTATGCGTCACACAAGTTTCGCTCGACCGTATTGTTTTGAAAAATAAACACAATATGTAACGGATAATTTTATTCTAGTTATTGTACAATTTACCATTAATAGACCTATTCTGTTGAGTTATAAGATATGTACCTGAATAACAAAACTTAACATTTTCATGATCGAAAAAAGAATTTTTCCTTTGATCTTGCTGACTGATAATTTCCGTTCTCAGCGGCGTCGAGTGATATGAAAACGGAGTTGAGTGATATGAATATTATCGCTAGAAACTAAGGGAACACGTGCCGTTGTCAAGGAAATTAACAATGTCTTCATAGGTAAAATAGCGAAAAACAGATTATCGACCTACAATCAGTTACTTACAAAAACGATGTTATTTTTATCTAGCCGAATTGTAGCATCTGCTAACTTGACCAAAACATATTGTGTATATGAGACTCTTGTGTTTGAACCACGGTCTTTAGTTTGCACTTGAACTTCAAAACCACCACATTTATCAATGGATGTTGATTTGATCATGGTATAGGTACATATTCTCATAAAGTGAATGGCTTGTCCATCAAAACTTTTAACATGTTGATCTCCACTAGCAACACAGGTGCATGTCTCTGTAGTGAAATACAATAAATTAAAAAAAACATCTTCAGTTATTCCATTACCTTTGCTACCATAAACACAACACAAATGAATTCATTGATAATTAGTTAAGTACGCACGATAGATGTTGATGGTTTAAACGCATGCTTGTGATCAAAATTTGGAATGCAAAGTAAAATGTCATGCTTATAATTAAAAGGTCGTGTTATCTGTGGAATCTATACCTTAATATAGGTCCAATCACATTTTTCATAATCAAAACATTCATCATAGAATATTATAATTACAATCATATCATCAACATATTGCCAAATTGTATTTACGGTATTATAAATGTGTGCATTTAAACAAGTTTTAAAATAAAAATGATTTCTTTTTACATTTTAATAATGAAATAAGAAGTGGGTCAAGAAAAATATATTTAACACAACTTTAAGGAAAGGTGGTCAGCATAACTGTTTCTTGAATATCTTGAAAGTTTGATCTATACCCTTCATCTTTTATTTCCATCTTTGTTACAATGAAAATGTTGTATTTATATGAACTTACAGACTTTTTAACAGTTAAGGCCGAAAAGAAGAATAAAAGGTTAAGTACTCAAACATCTTGACCATTTGGTTCGTTCCCATGCAAAATTAGCTAGTATATTTCCCAATCTCCGGCGCAGAGCTCACATCCGTTCCGTACTTACTTCGTATCACTACACTTAATATGTCATTGTATTGTAGTGTACTGAGTATACGGAAAGGAAACAAGCTCTGTACGTAGATTGTATATTTCCTTGACGATCTATTCTACTAAACATATAACATAATACCTATGCAGCTATTTACACCGTCTCCGACAAACTCTATTTTGCATACACATCGACCATTGTGACATTTTGCTTCTGGATGACAAACGCTTGATCCACACTCGGGTCCTGTTTCTAAAGAAAACATAAGTTCTTATCAATAGCTATACCGATTCATTACGTATATAATATAAAATTGAGAATGGAAATAGGTAATGTCAAAGAGACTACAACCCGACCAAAGAGCAGAAAACAGGCGATGGATCTTCAACACAGCGAGAAAATCCCGCAACCGGAGGCGGGCTTCAGCTGGCCCCTACATGTAGATACAAATGTGTACTAGTTCAGTGAAAATGGACGTCATACTAAACTCCAAAACATATATTAAATAAACTAAAATTAAAAAAACATACAAGACTAACAAAGGTCATTTAACTGATACTAATAGTAAACTTATGATGTATTTGTCAGCATATGAAAAAAATACCAATAAATGTTTTGTATAAAATTTCCTTAGAACTCGGCATTTTTATGGTTGTAAATTAATTCTATAGTATATGTTGATTTAATCTCGTTTGAAAAAATCAATTTTTTGACGAGTCTGTTTTAATTCATTGCATACAGAACGTTTACGCTGTAATCACCTTCAACACTTATCCAAAGCTAAACATGTAAAATTTGGACTCACAAATGTATTAATAAAATGTGTGCTTTGAGAATCAATTACTGTCCATCCTCGAGTTGTTAAAATCCCCTGCTATCTTTAGCCCTTTTTGTAAGTAAAAAGACTAAAATAAATATACATATTAAACGATGTGAAGTACCATTACCACATAATTGTGACTAGGTGCATTCTAAACAGTTTAAGAAATACCTTCGCAGACGTATCGAACAGTAACGTATTTGTATGTGCCTACACAAGGATCACCGTACAGGCCGTTATTTGCTGATACCATGCATGATTTCATTCCATCACAATGTTTTCTTATTATAGGAAGTGGTTTGTCAGATGAACATGATGTCGTTTTCACATTTGAACTTCTACATTTGCCCATTTCAGTTCTTCCATATGTTGCTTCCAAAATTCTTATTGTTTTCTTCCATGGACATGTAATTTTACTTTTAAAGCCCTCACATATCACTTTTTCTGTACCAGGTTGTGGCTTACCTTTGAATACCATTTTTGTATTATTTTGATAAACAAAGTATAAATCACGAGAACATGGATACTTTTTTATTTGTTTTTTTTTTTCATTAAATAATTAGAAGAAAAAAAACTTTATATATTATTTATTGTCGTTGTGTCTGTTTGGTTTAAACGAGCTAAAAAAAACAGGTTAAACCCACTATTTTCCTCGGACAAGTCAGGAAAATGAGAGGTCTTTTTCACTCATTTCGTTAGTTGATGACGTTTGATTTCTTCAGTTCTTATGGGCTTCCTGTTTTTAGATTTACCATGGAGTTCAGTTTTTTTGTTATACTTTTTTCTAGTCAGAAATGGTTCAAAGACAAAATGTCCAGCCACAATCACGTTACGATATTTAAGTGATACAAGTTTAGCAGATGTCGTCTGTCGTTAGTCAAAACGTTTGTTCAATATATGCTGGGAGTGGAATATCATAATCGTTTCAGAATAAAGAAAAACATGACAAACCGGAAAAAAACATGATCACAAAGGAAAATAAATACAGTTTGCAGCTTTTTAAAACCAGAAAAAACAAAAATGAACCAAATTTTGCTTTGCATCAACAGATTGCGTTTAGGAAAAAAATGTATATTGCGATGATTAATATATTTACTTTTCATAGCATATCCATATTTTATCCTTAACTTCACATTATCTTTATTCCTGAACACTACGAAGGTAAAACCACACAACTATGAACGTATTTACACTTTTAGTATTTTGTCACCTAATAACCTTTTGACTTCATTCAACAGTCAATTTTAAATGATGATCTCAAATGTTTTAAATTGTGATGCAATAATTTGCCTGAACTAATGCAATTATAAGTAATGCAAAACACATTTGTATATAAGGATTAATACGTCTATGTAGACATAAAAGGTGTCAATACCTTTGCATTGTTTGACTCCATCTCCTTTGAAACCCTCTTCGCAAGCACAATCATAAACGCCATTGAGTAATTTACATTGTGCATTACTGTGACATTTTTGCCGTCTAATGACTTGTATTTTTGCGTAACCCGATTTTGTGGCAACGCATCTGGACACCGTCCTACAATCTCTAGATGTAATTTCTGTATCAATCTAATTGCAAAAAGACAAAATTGTATTTTACAGCTGAATATGGAAGTATCAAGCAAATGAGTTTCGAATTTCAATTAAAGATAGTCAATGTCCAGCTTCTTTTATATATCGTTCTTGAATCGATTTAATCGTTGTTTAGAGTATTAAACTAAACGGTGTACAACCATAAAACAAAAATAAGATGCATATATGGTCGCCTTCAAAAACCGAAATGAGAGTAACAAATCTTTCCATTGAAATAATATGAATACATATCTTATTTTGAAATGTTGAATTATTCAATACACTTAAGGATGTACTTTTTAAAATTTGAAAAATTAAAAAAAATAAAAAAATATTGAAATTAAAAAAATCTAGAATTTAAAATTGATATTATTAGTCGAAAGAGCATTAGTTAAGGAACAAAATAAGTTAACAATATTGATAGGTTATGGAACTCCTTTTCGAGATATTTAATTTTTTTTATATGGCGGGAAAAGGCTGTCTCGGACTTTTACCTTATATTTGCATTGGTGTTATTTGGGTCTCAAATCGAAAGAAAAGAATTCTAGAATCGGCTTAAATTTTGGTAAATGACCTTTTATAAGCTATTGAAGTCTTATATGAAAAGAAAAATGGGTGTTATGGGGCAAAATATTTTACCCAGCATCGTAGGAAAAAAACCAAGGAGTCCGAAAATCTGACACAAATTCCTAAACCTGACCTTAGTACATCCTTAAGACTTGAATTGTTTTAGCACACTATTTAGGTTTTTGTTTCAGCGCCAGTAATGAGTCTGATGAGCATGACTCGCGCGTCTTGCTTTCCAAATTATAAGCTTAATATCTTTATGTGTTTTAAAGTTTAATAACTAACTGGATAGTATTCACCGGTAGGTAGCCTGCAACCACACTGAGCTATCAGTATACATTTGTTGTCACTGAGTACAAATCCTTCTTTACACTGACATCCTTCTGATGGGGGTAGTTTGCATGTTTTGGGGGCATGTAGATCAACGCACGTGGCTGGGCATCCACTTATAGCACTACTGTATTCCATATTGTCTTCACATATAAAAGCTATTCAAAATAAATAAATGTAGTTGTAATTTCAGATATAATGCATGCCATGTCAATATTTATAGATTCCATTGAATCAAACGGAGCTGGGGGAGTTGTGACATGTGTAGACTGCACAACTTTTCATTCAAAATTAGATACATCTTGGTATTTACATACATAGTATGAATATTTGTGAATTTTTGAATTTTCATTTGTAATTGAACTACACGAAAGTGGTTGTGTCTGAAAGTGTATATGAAAATGCAAGAACAATCTGCGCAATATACACTACATCTTTTTCAGTTGGAGCTACGCGTTTCCCTCAAAATCCTGCAAATTTCGTCCTGAAGTTTAATAGATTTTTTAAAGAATATACATAAGCATTCTGATATGTTAATAAGGTTAAAACCAACAAACATGTAGTAAAAAGTTAGTTTCCGTGGATCAAAATGCAATTTTATATCGTTATCGTTTGAATAATAACAAGATAAATAAAAACATGGATTATTGGAAATATTGTTTAAGTCACATTGAGAAGTTTTCTAAATCGAAGAGGATTTCTTTTTTAACAGTAAATTATGTCAACCAATCTATTTTCACATAAAAACACAGTACTAACAGAGTTATAGGCTATTTATTTTTTCCATTTTTTGTTTGTTAATTGTAGTTATTTTCATTTAAGAGAAGACAAAAGTTTCATATATTCGCAACGATGTGTTTTTCGCGTTATATTTTCACTTCCGATAATCGATTAAAACATCGTTATCAAAATTCATTTTTTGTACATAATTCATATTTTGGCATAGCCATAGTGACGAACTCAACATTAAACTTCTTAAAAAGTAAATTCTAAAAGGATGATTGATCGTTTATACTAGAAATAAATTTGGAACAGAACACTTACGACAAAATTGTTTTGTTCTCCATGATATATCAACACCCATGTTTTCACATCTTTCTTCTAGGCCTTCAGCAGCTTCGCAAACAATTGTATTTAATATATCTGGTTGATCACTGTATGCACAGTAGTCATAAACACAAGTGTCATATATGTCTTGAACTAATGCCGCGTCTTCTTGTGAGCAGTCTTTGAACGGGCTGCTTGGGTTAGCTGGATTTAACTGGCCACAGGCGGAGTTTCCATTTGCTTTGTTTCTCAGTGCTGACGTACAAGGATCCGGTGGGGTTGTCACGCCACACCTGAATTGAGTTTCGAAAAATCATGTCGACAAACTATTTATAAATTTTGATCATGCTTTAGTACAATCCGGCACTTGTTTATTTGGGAAAATGTCTGTTATTTGTTTGCTAATAGTTTTTTAAGTTAAATATAAATTAATGACAAAATATCAATACAAAAAAAGTAATAACAAAAATACCCCAATAACTCCAAGGAAAATTCAAAACGAAAAGTGCATTCTCAAATGGAAAAATTAAAAGCTCAATTACATTAAACGAATGGAAAACAACTGTCATATTCCTGACTTGGCATTTTCCTATGTAGAAAACGATTAATTAAACCTGGTTTTATAGCTAGATTAACCTGTCACTTTTATGCCAAATAGCGTTCAGTAATCAACAATTTAATATTGATACACTTAATCCTATCAATATATTAAAATTCCCCATGATCTATTCTGATGATTAACTATTCATGTAATACGCAATGGTATAAACGTCAATGACCAAACAATATGGCCAAAAAGAACAGAAGAAGAAAAGGACGCAGAAACAAAATAAGAAAAAAAAAATCCAGTTTCCAATCCTTTTGATCACGCAAAATGTTTTGAGATCATGTATTTTTTTTTTCATTTTGTTCATTCTTTCATCATTGTGAAAAACTATTCAATTACAAAGCACTTATCATGACCAAATATAAAACTTTTTTCCAAAATTCTTTATCTTGGTTGAGAGCGATTGGGCGGTATCATTCTGTAAAGATATTCAGTATTGTTTCGTGCTATTGTATTAAGTTCTGAATTAATTTTTTTATGTTTTTTTTTTTGTATTGATATTGACTATAGCCCAAATACCTATTATGTATAACTGTACGTGTTGAACGCTTACTTTTCGCTATTGCCTTCTCGAATCAGGTAACTTTCACCAATAAGCTTAAACTTGTCCGGTTTTGTGCGCACGTCCAAACCATCTTTTGTTATAAAATCATCTTTAATGCCATTACAATTTCCACACAAGCCAATTAAATTTTGCCTGAAATGACTCGGTACCGATATAGTTACTGCGCTTTTCCCGTCCCATGTAATTAAGACGTTACATGTAGTTTTTAGTCTCACATAGCGTCCTGAATTTATGATACTGAAATATCCAGTTTTATATGGTAGATATCTTTTAATTCCATCCACCTACAAATGAACAGAACAACTTGAAAAAAACAATTAAGAAATGAATGTTTCTTTTTGTAATTTCATTGGTGTGTAAAAGTGTTTACTGAAGCACATTTTGTATGAAGCGTGGAAATGCTTCATTCTGAAAATGTGTGAACGATCATCACTTTTACACCCCAATAAAATTACACTTTTATGCTCATGAAAAAAAAATGTTTATCAAGTTTTTCTTTTATTTACCTGTGCACTTTTTTGTGGAAGCACGTTTCATCACAAATGTAACATTCATTTTGATATGAAGGTAAATTTTTGAATGTCGCACGATTGATGTTAGCCAATCAAACCAGCGAATTCTCGTGAAACATACATGTAATGTAATTATTCATATGTGTATATGATCATAGTACTGTATTACTGATTGAAGGAGTGACAACGTCTTTTCATTTAGTTTGTTCTAGGTCAGTCCTGTTTTAACTCATTGTATACCATAAAGCATCATGATACTAAAAATTGAGATTACAAAAAGTTATTTTCGTTCTTGTTAGGGGTTCTATTTTTACAAAGTATATGCATGTAGTACCAATGGACTGTTTTTGAGTTGTTTGAGTTTGGTTTAAGAAATGAAATATGTATACAATTTACAACAAAAGATTTGTAAGGCAATAATACTTAAATGGCTATTCTGTAATTAATCATTAATTTCCAAATTTCCAAACCAATTCAGTCAAATAAATATCCTTTCTTTTTAAATGCTTTTTCATCAAAAACAAGCTCTGTCTTCATTGTTATAAAATGTTGATGGAATTTAGGAATATGAGTTTGCTTTTTGAATATCAACAGCGGTTTTTCATTCATAATAGCATATATATCGTTTATCATTTTATACCAAGATTCACATAAAACGTAGATGTGAGTTTTCATAAGAAATACTAGATGACATTGAGAAAAAGACCTAAATGAGAAATAAGGCAAATAATATAAGCTCACAGCTGTGTTTATTAAAATAAAACATTCCAAAATGGTTCAACAGAACAGGCTGCTATTGGTGATGTAAGCGTAAACATGTAATGTTGACTGCCTAACACTTAGTTCATTCATCAACAAAATGCAAAATCTTTTTTTTTAAGTCGATCTGTTGTCTTTACATGTCATTTCGTAATATTAAAGAAGCCCCTGTTTAAGTTTTGAACATTCCACAAAAAGCTGATAAAATGATTGATGTATAAAGTTTTTTGACCGATTGTATGTTAAATTCTACGAAAACGTGAGGAAAAAAATCAAAGTTTTGCTTCAGACATTTATAATGTAATCAGAAATGAATATTGTAAATTACCCTACGACTACTCTTTCAAGGGGGATCTTTGTTTTTTTTTAGGTAAGAATAAACAGTCAAATCTTATATGATTGTGATCTAGTTGGAACTTACAACTACTCTTACAAAGAGGATTGGCTCCTTGAGATGTATAAATAAGCAGTCACATTCAGATTGATAGTACATTTATAACTCAACCAATATCGATTCAATATATTTATAGCTCGGTTCAGTCAAGGTTTATAACTCTAGAAGGCTGCATTATTCTTGATTGTCAAGGATTGTTGTGAAAGGATTTATTCATTTATTTAAGCATTTAAAACGATGGGTACCACACCTTTAACAGGACCAACTGGCCCTTACTGAGCACGTGGGAGTAACCCGGGTTTTGAGAGATCGTGGTGGTCAGTTTGTCAGTTTTGTAGTTTTATGCAGACTTGTTTGAGTATTCGTCGTTTTTTTTTTTTTTTTTTTTTTTTTTTTTTTTGCCATGGCTTCTGTCGGTTTCCCTTCGATATTAATGTTGATTGTCCCTTTTTTCTATCTTTCGCCGTGTTTAAAGTTCACAGAGTCTCAGATATAATGAGAATGTTACTGTTTAAATTCGGCTAATATGTTGGTTTTTTTTTAACATGCATGAATCATAGTTATTTTCATCATGTACTGATTATAGTCATGTGTGAACTTGCTTGTCTTTTCTGTCGACTTTCGTATTTTTTTATGATGTTGTTAGTTTATCTTCAATGTTTCTTTCGTATCTTCCGCCTCTTTTCATGAGAGTGTCTATTTACTCATTTCTTATCTTTTCTCTGATATTTTAATTAAAGATCCTCCTGTCTTTTGATCGTTTTTTGGGTTTTTTTTGCCATGGCATTGTCAGTTTATTTTCGATTCATGAATTTGAATATCCCTTTGGTATCTTTTGGCTCTTTTCTTCAAAGCTTATCATATCAATACTAAATTTTGAGATTTTACCTTGACAGCTCTATTCTTTAACAAGTCAATCTTCGTCTTTCTGACGACTACATGAACAGATCTTGTATACATGTATGAGACTCGTTTATTTCCTCTGTTTTCATTCTTGACTTGAACATGAAATCTGCATGTACTGCTTGGGTTAACATATTGAGACAAAGTATATTTACATGTTCCCATGAAATGTAATCCTTGTCCGTCGAAAGATCTGTAATGCGGATCGCCGCTCGCTGAACATGTACAACTTTCTGGCGATAGAGAATATACAAAACATATCAAGTTCATTGAAAGAAACAACATATCTGCATATTATCATACAGCTGTTAGAATGACGTTGAAAAAATTAACATTAATAACGAAACTAAATTTAAATAAAGGCAACAGTAGTATACCGCTTTTCGAAATTCACAAATCTATTGAGAAAAAAACAAATCCGGGTTACAAACTAAAACTGAGGGAAACACATCAAATATAAGAGGAGAACTACGACACAACAGAAACACAACATTAAAATGTAACACACACACAAACGAACTATAATATTTCAATTGCCATTTTCCTGACTTAGTACAGGACATTTTAAGAAAAAAATGGTGGGTTGAACCTGGTTTTGTGGCTGGACAAACCTCCCAAAAGAGTCTTTGTAACCTGTACTATATGTGTATGCAAATTCTCTACTAAAAGTTATTATCAATTATCAATTATCTTTCTTTCTCGTACTCAGCACTTCATCATGCTTAATTTTCACCGCCGTCAAATGATCTGTTTTAAACCAAGAATTATAAAGTATTAAGTAAAAAACGAACACTAAAACTTTTTGTTCGAAATAGATGTTAATCAAACGAAACGTGGAAATAAGCTGACTATTGTTGCCATGACACAAAACAAATGAAATCTAAACCTTAGGAGGTAGACTGATGGTGTATCAAGTTTAAACGATGGCGTAAACGCTTAGATGTTTTCCAACCATGTGTGGTAACTCTTATGACAAAAACACTTCAGAGGAAGTGACAAAAGTAACAACAATTGGTTAATACATCAACCTTTGAATACACAAAAAAAAGTAAGAGCAATTGAAATGTTCATATAATTAGAGATTAAAGCCACGTTATGTAATAAATGCGAAGAATAGAACCATAACCCGAAGGTGTGTTGAATCACAACTGTTCTGTCTTTTATAAGCCATCAAACCAAATCAGCTATATTTTTAAAATCTTGCAACCTTTGGTTTAAGTCAAATACAAATTGAAAGATGCTGCATTTAATACACCACACTATCGCCTATGGTCCAATATAATGAAATTGATCCTCAGATGTGGACAAGTTTGTTTTTCAAATTAAAAATACCTTTAGCTGAAATATACATTACATGATGCCCTTTTTTATTTTTGTAAGTGGTACTTACTGGAACAAACGTTAATGCCATCTCCTGTGTATCCTATTTTACATCTACATCTTCCTCTTTTGCATTTACCATTTTTGTGACATTTCCCCTTGCAATTACTTGGTTTGCCTGCATAGACAAACACACTTTTATTTATTTATTATCAAATAAGTTAGTCCATTCAATTGTTGTTGACTTTTAGAAATTGAATTGAAACACCACTCACAGATGAAGAAGGGGGCTACCGAACTTGCTTGAATAGCTTACTATACAGTAAAGTTTTTGTTTATTGATGAAGGTCGTACGAAGACTTCTAGTTCTTATCATCCACGTCATTTCAACTAATGGGATGGTATAGATTTAATAGATGTTAAAAATGATCCCTGACTATGTGTAATCTAAAGTTTATGGCTCTGATAATATTGGAGGCTATATCATAAAGGATAAGTGTAAATAAATAAATAAATAGAGTCAAGAGTTTTATTAAGCGATGTCATGCACTGCTTACTTAATTATAAATATAGTAGGGAGTAAAAAATAGTTTTTAATTATTCATAATAGACGCCAAAAAGAAATAATAATGTGGAAGAAAAAAGAAATTTTCATAGTTAAATGTTTAAAAAAGGACGCAGAGATGTTTTACAGCAAAACCACATATCCTTAAACAATTCCTCACTAATTTTACATCCAATCAATTTGACTGTCCCTCTTGTATATTTCGTCCCTCTTTTATTAAGATATAAATGTAATTTACGTCAGTAGAAAAAAAGAGGCATAGAAGACGGCCAAATCGCACTAATAGAAACAAAACAGAAAACAGCATGCTCCCCTCCAATACAAAAGACATTCAAGTCTTCAAACCTCTACAAAGAAAATTAAAGATTACACATCAAACCTTTATCGAAGAAAGCATAATAGGAAAACCAAGCTTCTGTATATCGTAACAACTAAATGAGGGTTTAGATGGGGGTCCGTCATTTCTGTTTTCTTTAATTTTTTAGGTTTGTCTGTATTTTTTTTAATTTTCTGCCCATTATTCTCTATTCTTTATATTTTAGCACACCATTATTTCCTATTCTTTTTTTGTTTGCCCTATTTGTCTGTATTGTTTATGTATTTTGCCATTTATTCCGCACATTTTTCACACTATTCTCCACTCTGTTAACCCAATCCGGACCCCCCCTGAAAGTGTCATATTGGTTTTGAAGGAGATAGTTAGTCCAACCACATAATACTAACTCATACAAAGGCTTGTTCTCATTATTGAAAGATATCAAAGCCAAATGGGCATCATTGCTAGCCATTATTTTAAACTTGATACTAAATCTTTTAGGATTATCTACATTGATGCCATAATCTGAGAGTAGTTTATATTTATACCTATTTGGCGTTTGGATTTTCTTTTGACAGCTTAGAAAATTTACATACAAAATGGCATGACAAATTTCATTAAAAAAGCTACAAAAAAATCTTTAAGCTAGACAACACGAATTCAACTCCCATTTAGTATTAAGTGTTTAAATTTTGAGATACTAGCGGTAACTGTTGATATTAGTCGATTTGTAGGTGTTTCTTGGCTAATCTAAGTCTAGTTGCTAAAAGAACCACTTTTACAAAATTATGACGTTGAATTTCAACTTATCAAAAAACTGAAAAAGGTCACAATTTTGTTTTATATCGAACTTTTCCAACAGCCATAAGTAGAACTGGTATACTTTCATCAGTGTATACTGTAAACTCTAAAATATTTTTGGAAATACTGTCAAAACATGTGCATCTATCGAGCCTAAAAGCTTGAGAAAACCTTAGTTAAGAGTCAATTACCAGTCCGTTATTGCGTGATCCCTTATCACTATAACATATCAATGTAATTTGTAGGCGTAACACGACGTGTGTCAATGGTAGAACATGATCTGCTAACATTTCCGGAGCACCAGAGACCACTGTGTGTTTTGGTGAGTTTCGCGTTTCTCAACTTTTATTTTAGTTTTCTGTATAGTGTTTTGTGAACTTTCGTTTGAAGCGATGATATTGTCAAATTATCTCGTCTAGATCGAGGTTATGGCCTATTTTAACCTGTAGTAAAACTAGTCCTGAATAAAACATCGGTACTTGTACATATTGAAGATTTCACATCCATAACCAGATTTGATTCGATATTAAATCCACCTGAATGGAAACAAAATCTTTTTTTTTCAAAACTGTCCTATGTTTTTTTGTTTTTTTTTGTCGTTATTCTGATTTCTGCCATTGTGCTGTCAGTTTTTTGTCTGGAATTAGTGGATTTTTATAGTATATATTTTAATTATAGCTTAGAATGATATAAAATCATTGTAGCCGGAATTAGACCAAGACTTATGACAGCTCTTAATGTTGGCTTATATATGCAATTTCAAAAGAAAAAAACATACGATACCGTTTGAATAATAAAATAAGCAAAGACGGCGGTGCTCAGTAGGATTCTTACAAAACTGAAAGGTAATATAACAGATCACCTACCATAAATGAACATAAGGAATCTGATGTTCAGTAGTTGTCGTTTGCTGATGTGGTTCATAAGTGTTTCTCGTTTGTCGTTTTTAATATAGATTAGACCGTTGGTTTTCCCGTTTGAATGGTTTTACACTAGTAATTTTTTGGGGCCCTTTATATCTTACTGTTCGGTGTGAGCCAAGGCTCCGTGTTGAAGACCGTACTGTGACCTATAATGGTTTACTTTTATAAATTTTGACTTAGATGGAGAGTTGTCTCATTGGCACTATTACCACATCTTCTTATGTCTAATAATTGTCCTGAGGCCAACGGATGTTAATAAAATACCACAAGTTACCTTTGACGAAATTATATAGGTAAAATATCCCAAATGATTTAAAATTTGTCTTTATTGTTTTAACAATGTTTTACCTTTTGGCTTCTGACAGCACCAGCAAGTTCCACAACCTGGATAGTTTTTATTTATGCCTTCTGTGAACCTCCGACCATGTTTTTCACATATCGATTTTTCTCCAAATTTTATCATTGCAAATTTGTTTGCGAATGTATAATGATAGCATTTCCATTTACTTGAAGCTGAAAAATATATCCGTTTCTTGAAGTATTTTTTTCTTTATATTACTTAAGCAAAATACTGGTTAAGTTAGTTTTTATTACTGGTGAAATCAACATCAGCCCATTACTTTTCTCGTTTGGATTGTTTTACATTTGTTATTTCAAGGGCCTTTTATAGCTGACTATGCGATATGGGTTTTACTCATTGTTGAAGGCCGTACGGTGAACTATAATTGTCAATTCCTGTGCATTTTTTCTATTTTAAAGAGTTGTCTCATTGGCAATCATATCACATCTTCTTATATATATATATATATATATATATATAAACGCCTAAAAAGTGTACACAACAACACCAATAACAAAAAAAGGAACTATAAATGTAATTATTTATAAATATTTCGGATAACAGATATCCTTCATCAGTAAATATGATTGTGATGTTGAATGAATCATATATCAGTCTACTTAGATTAAACTATACAAATCTTGAAATTTATACAATAAAAATGTCAAACCGAACATCAGGTAAGACGCTTGCACAATTCTAAATATGTGTTAAACACGACATAGGTTATATGACTAATTACAACAGAGAGTTCAAATATATGCTTTAAATAAAAATAATAATGTGCGATATGAACTAGCACAATTCTAAAGCTTTAACGGTGACGACAGTTATGATGTTACAAGAACGATTGCGTCAATAAGAATTCCAAATAAACAGCACTGAACGATCTAAATTTGTAAATATATATATATATACAGACATCTTGCATATAAACAATGAACAATAACATGCAAAATTCCAGTGCATATGGATAATTGTAAGAAAATAAAACATTTGGTATCTATAACGAAAACTACTTGATATTAAATTAACTACATTGTCCTAATGGTTTTTGGCCTGTTATTTATCTCACAAATGAAGAGATATATCTCGTATCACACTGAATGGGAGTTTATACGATTAAGTGATACCTCAAAAGTAATGTGATTTGATATTGTGACATTTAAATTGGATATCCATGGGATCAATGATGACTAGCAAAGGTCACGATGGAGTAATTTTCTATTAATTCTCCTCGGGAAGGGCTTGGCTATTTACGAATTTCACGATGTCGTCTATATTATATTATATTATATTATATTATATATACTCAATTTGCTATAAATTGTGGTTTGGCTTCATTTGTACTTACGTATCTTGTCTGCAAAATGGAAAATAATTGAATTATAAGTTATAATTCTTGTAACTTTATTTCTGAGAAGGATTAATATCTAATAGAAAAACAAATGATTTGGAGTATACATCCATGACACAAAATCAGTACAGCAAAAAGCACACAAAAAGCAAAGGAAAAGCGCTTTTGTTTCTGTTCTTCATCTCAAAGTCACAGTGAGACCTTCAAAATGAAGCAAACAAAGTCTCACCTCACTGAAAGTTTAAGACGGCCCCAAGCATCGGCTTAAGCGGAATCCATTAATTTTTACCATATATTTCAACGATCCACTCGACATCTAGTTTTTTCGATAAATTAGTTAGTCCTAATGGAAAAGGGAATACAAAACATGTTAAGCATGAACTTGAATGATATATACCGTTACCTTTTATACAAGATCTTACTACGTCTCCTTGGTATCCTGCTGCACACACGCATTTTCGATTTATGTACTGAGCTCTACCATGCTATTTACCCATGCACTTAGATGTCTTGCCTAAATTTTATAATTTTTACAATTAACGAGGTTATACACTTGTTCTTTCTGTGTTGTCAGCAAGAAACGTTTTTGTTTTATTCTGACTCTGAAGTTAAAGAAGCTCGACAACTTCTTTGGTAAAAAAAACCATTAAATGATATAATAAAATAGTACATAAATTTGACTTGTGTACAACATCTTACTTCGTCACATTAACGTTTTATACACTTAGCTCTTTACAAACAACGATGTACTGTATTCGTTGTAATTTCTTTGTTGACACTGAGAAACGTTATCGTTTTATTCCGATTTTGATGTTTTAAAATCGCCTCGACAACAGGTTTTAACTGCTGATTTTAGTCAGTCATAATGAATAAAAGAGAGACAAAAGATACCAAAGCTATTCAAATTCATAAGTCGAAATCAAACTGGCAATGCCATGGCAAAAATACGCAAAAACGATCAAAAAGAACACAACAGTAGACATAACACAACATAGAAAACTAAAAAAAATCGGTAAATAAGTTATTAATTAGTAAAAACATGTTTGTCATAAAAATATATACTATTAAAATGCATACCTTTCTTGTTTTTACAAGATCTAACTCCGTCACCTTGGTATCTTGATTTACATACGCATTTTCCATTTATACACTTAGTTTGTTAATGACATTTCTCGAGCACTTGCGTGTAATGCCGGCAAAATGGACAATTGTACGAACAATGGGTATTGTAATTGTTGTCGTTTCATGGCTGACATTGATAAATATTTACAAAATAATTAATAAAAAATTGAATTAATGAAAAATATTCAACGATTGATCCAACATTACATTTAGTCATAAATGCGCGTAGCGCACACGATTGTTATCAGTACTATTCGGTCACTAGTTTAATATTATACAGTAATATCTTTTGATAGGGTAGATATGTGGTTTTTGTTGACTTTTTAAAAGCTGATATGCACTGAGGCCAACAACCAGTTTTTCAAAAGTCAATTAGGCCAAAAATTCACCGAACCAAAAGACTTATTGTTTTTTTCCATATTCATGATATTCCGAAAGAGATAAAAATGTATTAAATGATTATTTATCAAAAGTAATTGTATATCAAACATTTTACCATTATAATACCTGTAAAAGCAAGTGACGTAAAGAAAGATGAATATGTTATAGATAAAGCATATTGTAATGTGTTTCTTGTTGTATAACAGACCTCGGGTTGTCAGGATTGATCAAAGGAAAGACCAGCCGGAGGGAGATCTTTCTTTGTGCAATCCTAACACCACGATGTGTGTTATACAACAAGAAACACCTTAAAGTATGCTTGATCTGACTTATATTCTGTCAAAAACTATTTTTTTCTGCAAAGATTTCCAGGAGTTGTATCCTATTTTACCGATCACATTGAAGTGAGATATTCTTTTCTTAAACGTTAAGGTATAACAGCGCCCTACGGTTCATTTTTAATGTAAAATAACATTCACCTTATTAATCTAGATATATGTATAAATATTAGAAATCACTGTCCAGTTACAATATAAATGATATAGTAATTGCATGAAGCTAGAAGCAACTGAATTCTTAAGAGGTATACAAATGCAAGTCACTTTGTAAGTTATTATCGTATACTCTATATAAAAGGGGTGCCTTGTTATTTCTCTTGTTTAAATACATTTTTATCGCGGAAAAGCAGATTATTTTTCAACAATTTTTAACGAACTTTTCAGAAGAATTGTTTTCTCTCCTTTTGTCTGGCAATACATTTTATCTTCAAAAGTTGAGAATCAGAATGACATATTATAGCCCCCCCCCCCCCTCCTTTTTTAAAGAACGTGGCTGTTCCCCTATAGAAACTAGGAATATTTTGTCATTTAATAGAGTAAAGGGTATTTGATTCAGCCTAATACACAAATTAAATAATTATTTCTGTCTAAATGTAAAAAAGTGTTAAAGATAGAAAATTGTACAATAAAACACAATTGGCAACAACACGCGGATTAAATGTTTTAGTAACCTTTCATTGAAACTTGGTATCGCCCAGGTTGTTTCTTCAAAAGAATGACTTTTCGTTCTGAAAGAAAATAACTCCATATATGTATATAAGTTGTTTTATTCAAAATCCAATTCATATAGAAAGACATCCAAATTGCAACTAAAGATTATGCAGCATACTTCTCGGTTCAACAATGCAGAGATGAACTCAAAGAAATACTAGATTTTTGTTGTTTTGTTATTTGCCAGTGACATATTATTTTATGCTATTGGACGTCAAGGTCTACAGGGTAGCTCTGCAAAGTGTTCGACCGGAATAAAGATCGCAAATGACTGACAATGTTATACAAGGGTACATATACGTTGTATAGGAACAGAAATTTGCATTACAACTAACCACTTATGGACTGTTTTTTTTTTTTTTTTTTTTTTTTTTTTTTTATAAAAGGTGTTGCAAGGGTTCTTTCGTGTTAAGCGAGTATGGCTATCTCCCTAGACAAGGACATATTTAATGGTAATACCTAATACCATGTTTTCCCACTAAAAAACAATTTCTCTCCTCTAATATAACACACAATTGGTTTAGTTAACACATTGTCGATGACTTTGTAAAAAGCGTTGGAAAAGATAAAGTTCCTTGCATGTTCTGTGTTATTCCTATTTAAAAGTCAGTGGTCAATGTAAAGAAAAGAAATAACTTATCCACGAATAGAAATATAGAAAAAAATAATTTAATTTAAGATTAGTTATTCAGTAAGCATTTATTCACAATATGTAGAAAACTTCATATTTTGACTGTGTTTAGTTTCCAAAAAGTCTCATAGACAATTTATAGTTTGGTGGCAAATTTAAACAGTGATAGACGTGATACTCGGTTAATAGTTGGCGTTTGATATTCCAACTGAAAATGGTGTCGTCAGCCTTCGGTTTCAAGCATCTATTTAGTTTTCGGGTCAAATAAAACAGCTGATGAACGATAATCCCGTCTATTTATAAGTGTTTAGCAAACTGTCTTTTGTTTGCAATTGACCTTCAGTTTGAACTGCCACCTTCATTATTCGTATTTTTGGCTTATTTCTTTGTTTGGGCCAAGCAAAACGGTTGTTGGCTTCAAACCCAGTCAATAACGGTTATTAACTTCCGGTAGACGTGGCTTCTTATTTAAACAATTTGCAAGGCTAAAAAGACGCCCTTGTCAGTAGGAGTTTTTTTCAGTTTTGAATTCATACGGCTCTTAGATAAGTGCAAACAATACTGAAAGGAGCTGTAATCTGGTTATCGAACCACCAATTCGGGCTCTGTCTGAGAGAACATACCAAAAAGTAGTACATATTTAAAAAACAATAGTTCCTACTCGTGTACTTTCTCAATAAGTACAATATTTGGGTAATTTTGATATATATAATAATAGCTAAAGGTCTTTGAATTACTTTAAAACTCATGGTGAAATTTTCACTTATGAATAATAATAAAATATTTATATTATATCATTGAATAGGAGGACATATTTGCCAGTTGTTCAGATCAGAAGTACTTGTTTTTTGTACTACCAAACTTTCGAGAACCAGTACGCTCAAATATACAATGACAGGTATGTTGATTTTTTTAGCACAAGTCAGGATAAGGTATTGTTTTAACATGAAATGACTATCACTTTATTTGAATTTACGACAAAATAGCTATGAATGCTTGATAATGCAGAATTTAACATGAAAAGCAATAGGGTTGTGAATAAGTGGTTTTAATCCTCTTCATGTCATGTTAAGCATATCAGTAACCAGACAAATTATTAACTTAAAGATTGATGTATTTTCAGATTTTCAGAAGCAGTTAGAATAAGATGACAGAAAGTAAGTTATTTTGGACTATTTTAAATAGAAAAAAAAACACTAAAAAACGCTTCAGAAGAAATATTACGAATAATTTTATTATGCGTAATGTATACAATTGGACATATGGCGCGGATGAATGTTGGATATACTAAGTGCATTGAAATGTATACTATGCACTCATTTGTTAACGTGGGATTATATTTTGTTATGAATTGGTGGGTAAAAATAAGCACAAAATGAATAATTCCACAAAACGAAAATTTAAAAAGCAATAAGTTCAGCTCTACAAACAAATTTTTTTCTTACAATCCACTTAAAAGAGGGGCGAAAGATACCAGAGGGACAGTCAAACTCATAGATCGAAAACAAACTGACAACGCCATGGCCAAAAATAAAAAGACAAACAGACAAATATTAGTACAGATGACACAGCATAGAAAACTAAAGACTAAGCAACACGAACCCCACCAAAAACTGGGGGTGATCTCAGGTGATCCGGAAGGGTAAATTGCTAGCATTAAAAAAAAAAATGAAATCTACAGTAGACTAATGGGGTTTTTATGTAATTGCATACACGGAATATTATAATTGGGTTGTAAGTCTTACTATATCTTAATCATTGTTCATGAGTGATTTGCAAAGACGTATTTGTATGTCCGAGGACAAGGATCACCATACAACCCGTTATTTGCAGCAACAGCACGATTTTCGCCCATTACAATTCCTCCTTGTGATGCCAAGGGGTTTCTTCGTAGAACAACGAGTTGTTTTTAAATATAAATGTTTGCACGTTCTTCTATTAGATCTACCATACGTTGCCTGCTGTATCTTGATTACTTTGTTTGATGAACATGACAATGTTTTTTTTTTTAGTTTTCGCAAATTACTTCTTTTCCCCCCGCAATAAATAAAAAATATATTCATAGATGATTGAACTGTTACAATACTAATACTTTTAAAGGTACATTAGCTTCCAATTGTCCGACCAACAAATATATTTAAACTCGCAAATATCATTTAATAAATATAAAAACGAAAGCAATGCGCATGTCTGGAATCCTACATGCTTATGTGCTTTGTCTATATGTATACTTGTGAACAATTTAATTATATTTTGACAAAAATATATAGTCAGTAGGAAATGAAAACTATTAATAGAACGTTAGACTTTTGTTTGTAGTAGCAACATGATACACCTTTTTTTTACACGAAACATTATATCATTCTATAACACGGCCGACACTCGGCTCACCGAGAGATTGGTCGGTTAATCTATATTGAGTATGCGGCTATATGGGCGGTTGGTCTGTTAATCGGGTCGGTTATACGTCTGTTAAGAGTAAAACGCACAATTTAATGTTAAACTCTGTTAAATATACAGATTTTTGGCATATTATGAGAACCAAATCAAAAAAAAGAAAAGTGTCTGACAAAATGATTTCTATCATAGAACATTTTCCACCTGTAAAATAATTTCATAGCCTGCGCAGTTTTCAGTAGAACTAAAAGGCGTCGCGCAAGTATGTGGTTTTTATGTTTATACGCATAGCAATTTTTTTGATAAAAGGCGAAAAAAAAACATTTTTAGATATCATTTAAAGGACACAAAATAGTACTTTGGTTCTAAAAAATATATTGACATTGAGAAATATTTTTTAATTGTAATATAACTTGAGTAATACCACATTTAAATGAATATTAGGGGAATAAAGTCTTTTAATGGGTTGGACAATTTAAATCGTGTCAGTTAAGAGTTATTTAGCCACGGCAATAGTTTTGCTACCTTTATATTTTCCCATTGAAAAAGTTAGAAATGAGATGTACTTGTAAAAAAAAAATGGCAAAACGCTGCAACAGTATCCTTATAGTAAGAGCATTTTTATTTTATTTTTATTACTTTGCATTTTATTGAAGGGTGTGTCACTTCAATATAGCGTGATATGGAATGATTGGCCGATGGAATAAGCATGAATTTATTATTTACGCCAAGTTATCAATCAGCCTTATTTTTTTTGTCTGTTCAAAGTCTGCAACATCTATGAATCTGTCATGTGTTGCCATGCAGCTGGTTAAATTCCATGCCTTTTCCGGTATGCATTGTCTTTTCTTCCAAGTCATCATTGTCACTTTCTGCCTAAAGAAATGTCTGTACCAAGTACGGAATATGACCGTTGTTTTCTAATCGTTGGAAAGACGTGGTTCTAAACAAGAAATTGACATTAGTAAGTTTGTTTTTTTCAATATTTGTGTTGGGTGCTGATTTTTAAAATGTGTAACAAAGAAAGTTTTTTATATTCCTGGAAATCACAACAAAAGCATAATAATAATTTCATTTTTCGAGTAATGATGTATTTCCATCGTAAGTTATTTAGCCTACATTACGAAGTTTATCTCTGATTCATATACCGGTTACCTATGTAGATGACAAATTGGTGTCATTCATAACAATGAAACAGAATCCACATGATATATGCGACCATTCTTTGATGAAATTAATATTACTTTAATATTACACTTTTTGAAACCATTTTTATCAATTTTCAATTTCCATTGTCTAAATTTATGTTTCATTGTTCATGTGTTGTTTCCGTATATTTTAGCCACTCGTCTTGAACCTACCCATTTGTTCCGATAACACCCCATATAGCAATCAAATTATACTTTTATTGTCATTCATAACTCTTAACAGACCAATTAACAGACCGGGTTTTATACATCCGACCAATTAACAGACCAGATTTTTAATAAAAATTGATTTATGTCACCAAAATACAGTTGTTCGTGTAGATTTTTCACATAATGATATTAATATGGTTAACAAACATAATGCCTGTCTTTTTTAGATGTTCAAAATATTGCATGCAAGTAAATTCAACCAACTTGTCATTTTTGTGTACATTTGTGTGTGTTAAATGTGTATAAATATACTGATGAGTAACCCGCCTTTTCATTTTATAGATCGTTTATCGAAGCTAGAAAAAAAATAATTATATCACTGGATTCAGTACTCAGAATTGTTTTGCCAGACATGAATAGGTTTTATGATACAAATATATTTAAAAAGTTATACAATGAAACATACTGACCTTGCAATGATTTTCTCGATAACACCTGATTAACAGACTTTAGCCAACCCGATTAACAGACAAACCGCCAATATAGCCGCATACTCAATATAGATTAACCGACCAATCTCTCGGTTAGCCGAGTGTCGGCCGTGTATAAACTGAGAGCTGTACCTTTATGTTTATCCTATTTGTCTTAAAAACGCTGCATAAAATTATGTATTATTTTTTCAGTCTGAATATGTATGAAATATATTTTGCTAGTCTGTAAACCAATATTTTTTACTAAGATCAACAACTGTAACCCTAACCCCTTTTTCCAACGAAAATGAAACTATAAAACAATCAAATTAGAGAATAAAAACAAATAATAATTAGAAATCAGTATATATTGATCTATGCAACAGTACATTACCGATGTTATAATTTCATACATCCTTATATTCTAATTTAAGTTAAATGATCCGTTTATTTTTTTTTTTATTATTTTAATTTACGTAACATCTTTAAAATTTCAACTTACCAACTACTGCCTGTATGACTGTCACAAGCAACAAAATTAAAACTCCCGGTCGTGCCTCCATGACTCCGGCTGTTTGAGTGTCATGTGATGCAAAGTTGCTTATGTATCCTTAATAAACCGACGTGTGGACACGTACATTGATCAGATATATTGACGAATTCTGGTATGTGTTGTTTACGCACAAGAGATGGAAATAAAATTGACAATAATTACACTTAAAGATTTTTGATTGTATCAAAATTTGAATAGCTTTGATGTATATAGTTTTCTAATATGTTATACAAAATCATCAGTAAATTAGATGAATTAACATGAGCTGGAACAGGTTATGTTGATTGTATCTTCTAGTAGGTTATAGGCTATCTATATTAAAATGATACTATTGTCCATCCGTAAATATTAATTTAAACATACATGTCTAGTACCTTTTCATATATCTGAAATTATCATTATTTAATGAAAACCGCTATCATGCAGTTGTCTACGAATATTGCATATCCTTGAATTGGCTACGTAACACATGTTTTAATTGTATTAAATACAATTATATTTCACCGATGTAATAACTTACACCGACGCATGTTGAGTTTGAATATTGTATTGCTTCTTTTTTTTTTCGAAAAATACTTTTTGGAAGTTACACATGTAGAATAAGGCAAAACGAAACTTTTTGAAAGGTCTAAGCTTGAGAATATTGTTTGAAAATGAAAATTTCCCGAAAACGAAGATTTGTTTTATCCATCTTTATAATCTGTTTGAACTGTGTTATATTTAAGTGCCAGTCTTTGTAAAATACAGGCAATTTAGATGAATTTCAAAACATGACCGAAAAAGAACCTAACCGACTTAACCACCCAATTTGAAGTTACGTTCATCCTGAGGTAGGAATGGTAGGTCTTTTGTTTTTTTTTTATTCTGAAAACATTTTGCCGTAACCTTGCAGTACTAAGATATATAAGAAATCACTGTGTTCTTTTTAAAACGGTCTTTAGAACAGAGTACAGGGACTCATAATCATTTCCATTTCATTTCATGCTACCTTTGTTTTACAGTCAAGGATATTTTATGAATGATATATATGACCGTGACGAAAAACATAGGAGCAAGATAACTAAGAAAAAACGGTAAAAAAATAGAAAACCAAAGATGTATGAGAACCGAAATATTTGAAGACTTATATGACCAAAAGCACCTAATAAACAGCCAAATCCATCTAAGTTCAACTTTGTCTGATGGAGTTGAAACCTAAGTTCTTTATAATTTTTAAATTTGTAAGCAGACAATTTTGAATGAATAATTGTTCATTGCTTAACGTCCAGTGACAAATATTTTATGCATGTTCAGGACGAGAACAAATTAACAATAAATCCAATTGGTAGGTTCTGCAACAGAGGACGTTTTAGATGAAATGTTGGGAAATTAAGACTGCCAATGAAAACGATGTTATATTGGATATTGACAGAAATGTTACTTTGCAACAGACCCCCTACGGAACCCTCAAAGTACTATTGCAAGGGTTTTGTAACGTGCAGTGGGCGTGGTATTTTTTTCTGTACGCTCTATTCTGACCGGACGTGGCGTACTTGAGGCAAAAGTTTTATTGCCGGTCGGAAGAGGACCTAAGTGACCATATTTCTATTCCCCAGTCCCAATTGGAGATTAACAATTTTAGAAATCAATCTTTGTTCTAAATCATGCAAGCACCAAATTACTGACTACTGAGCTGATGATAAACTCGAGGATTTATCCAACGTATTTAATAAACAACGAAATATACAATCTGTAAGCTTTAATACGATCATTTAGAAATTAAAAAAAGAAACAAAAGGTGTATAGAATATGAGTACACCCCATAAATGATTATACATTGTAAGTTTTTATTCTTTGTATTTCTGATGGAAATGAAGCTATGATGGTGCTTTACTTCTGTGTGACCTCTTCACAGTAGAAGCATTTGAACATTATTCTAGATTTCCATTTCTAGAACGATAAAACATGTGACCATCAAGATAAATAGTAAATGAAACACAAAAGGACGAGAAATTTGAAATGCCGCTGGAAAATGAAGATCAAGAGATGACATTATTTCTATACCCAATCACATGTGGGGTCAGAAAAACATTATAAGAAAATCAAATGTTATCAGGCAAAGGTTAATAATTACTTAATTAAGACATCGAGGTAAATTCAGATGAACGTTATCTGAACATCAAATTTCAGACCCGGACAGGCTTACTTTCCAAAAAGTATTAACAATTTTACAGATATCAGTTATAATCACAAGCCAAACATTTCTTATGGTGATATACCTGCATCCCCAAAAATTTAAGTCTACATCAAAAGATACAAAAAGTTTTGAAACATACAAAAAGGAAGATAAAGAATTTAGTGTAAAACAATATCGTTTCCCTTGCCTGAATAGGACACATATATGACTCTGTGTATGGTTCTCTTGCTACCTTGTCCTATTTATTTGGATGTTCGGCCAAGAACTCATGTCAAGATTATTTCCGTATACTACCGTATCAGTGGTGTCTTGCTCGTCTCGCATAGTACAGAAGGACGTCAGGTGGACCGTCGGTCGGTTCAACTAAACGACTTTGGTTCTTCTTCTATGCCAAGCAAGAGCAAAGACTGGTTAATAATATGCAGGTTCTTACTAGCACGTTAAAAATTCAGAAGTCTCATGTATGTTACATTTCTATACGCGTACAAACGTTCATTTTATTTATATGACCTAGTGTGGTGTAACAGAAATATTTTCACACATTTCTTTTGCTGTTTATAACCGAGAAACGATTATTTGTTTAGGTGGAAAGAACAGAACACCGATAAAGTAATATTTTGTTTTTAAGAGTTTGATTTTTAATTAATATACAATAAACAAATACATGTATGAATCACTGAGTACACTCCTAGCCATTCTTGCATGATTGATAATTTTTGTTTGTTGCTGAACGCCCAGTTGCAAATGTATAGTATATACTGTAAGTCCATTCTGATGACAAATGCCATTCGTTTTAACTGAGTTGAACAACCTGTATAAAGTGTTCAACAAAGAACCAAATATTATCGATTGTACAATTTTACCATGGGTATTTGACTGTCATATTTCTTTTGTTTAAGTGTTCAAACTTTAAATTCAAGTTCAGCGTAGATAAATGGAAACCAACATGCTTAGGTACAATATTTATTTTTCATTGCAATTGAAATCGATTCAGATTTGACAATTTGGGTCCGGACATTTTCCTTTACGACAAGAGACTGTTCTTTAAATTTTCGTCACCCAAGAGTAACTGGGATAATAGTATAGAAATATGCTAACTTTTGGTCTTTTTTCTGACCGGCCGTAAAATCCAAACCAATGTGGAGCGTTCGTATAGCTGTGGGGGGTGTCTAAATACGCAGCCACGTCCAGTCAGAATTCCAATATAACCTGATTCACCAGTGGCAGTTTAAATTTTCTCCAGGCGATATTCTATTTCAGGACCTACTTAATATTGTACTAGTTGTTCATTCATTTCTCGTCCTGAACATATGTTAAAAATATTAGCCATTAGATGTAAAGCAAACAGCAATCAATCAATCAACTTCAATTTTTAGCGGATTGTTTTTTTTTTATGAAATAGCTAGTCACACTTTGTAGTAGTAAAGCAAAATATTGCAAAGTTGTAGATTGCCTTATACATGTTATATTTATAGGATTATGGTATTGCTAACAAACCAGCCGAGAAGTGCTGTCTTGTCCATTTCATTATTTATACTCACAAGGGAGAGTATACACAAATTCAAATACCACGTTAATCATTACCGATTTTTTATTACGACCTGCACGTGTGTCGGACTATTGGGGTGTCAAACTAATAGGGTTTTGGAAAAATGGGGTATCGGACTATTGGGGTGTGAGACTATTAGCGTGTTGAACCAATGGGGTGTCGGGATAGCCCGTATATGAAAAAACGTTATTTAACTCCACATAGCAGCTCACACCAGTCTCAGTCCTTTGTAAAAAAATCGCGTCAACATGAAATTTTCAGAACTTATTGCAAAGTGCCATTCACATAGTTTTTCTGGATATTCATTTATTTTCAATAACATTTTTTTTTTTTTAAATTTTCAATCATAATATTTTTCATCTTAGATTTAAATTATTCTTTGGCGTAATTTGAAAAAAAAATGAAAATGTGAATTGCTAAAAATAGATTACCCTTAAACATTTTAATGACATAGCTAAAATACTGGGAGAACGATGATTTTACATTATCGAATCAACCGAGAAATGTACACTCTGTCTGTCTACTCGTCTGTCCGTCAACGCTTCTATTTCATACCATAAGTCCGACACCTACTCGTCCGTCCGTCAACACTTCTATTGCATACCATAATAAAGAAACAAGGAGATGTGGTATGAATCCAATGAGACAACTATCCACCAAAGTTCAAATGAAATGGATGTACGCTAATATAGGCAACCGTACGGGCTTCAACAATGAGAAAAACCCATACCGTATAGTCGGCTATAAATGGTCCCGACATGAAAAATATGAAACAATTCAATTAAGAAAACTAACAGCATAATTGATAACAAAACAATTTACGGAAAACAAATATGACAGACATGAACCAACGATAACTACTGAACTACAGGCTCCTGATTTGGGACAGGCTCAAAAGAATGTGCTGGGGTTAAACATGTTTGTAAGCGCTTAAACCTTCCCTAACCTGGGGCAGTGGTGTTACAGCACAACATAAGAACAAACTATAAAAGTCAGTTGAAAATAGCTCAACCCATCAGATCGATACAAAGATAAATCAAGATTTCTTCAACCAATTTCCATATTTTGTATGCAAAGTGTTTGAACATGTACCTATGATAGAAAAGTCGTTTCGAATTCAATGCGAATTGAAAATAATTGTGACAAAAACTTAGTTTTTGTTGAGAAATCAGAATTTTTTTAAACATTTTTCGCGCTAGGATTCCTACAAAAATATTTTATAGAAATGATATGATTGATAAAATGGTGTCAAAATTTAATTTAGTGAAATTGAATATTGGTAGATAAACCTTTACTATTGATTAAAAACATGAATT